CCGACTGATTTCAGCAAAAGTAGCCTGGCTGTTAGTACGTCATATTCTGATTGGTTTATTTGGCCCGTCTATCACCAACATAGGCCAATCAGCTAACCAGTATTTTCGCCCCTTCCCAAAATTATTTCAACGGAAGGTTTCCAGATGGATATGCGGAGCAAATCCATCTGGCGGAGTCAGGTTACATGAGTACGCCTTAGCTTTCAGTATCAGCCCTTCTTGAGCACATCTAAATATTAAAGGACTGTTTTTGCCCCGTTTCCACTACCCTTTTCAAACGGTGCTGAGATCGGTCCGAGCACGGTAACCGAGATAACTGTTGAGTGTTAATGGCACGCAAAACTGTACCAGACCGCACCAGACACGACCGAACCACACTAAACTGGTACTAGTTCATCCGTAGGGCTCGGCGTGGTTCAGTTCTGGCTCGGTTCTCAGATAACAAAGAGCGCATGAGGAGGCCGCGTCATCTCCTTACAGTCAGCCTTCGTAATCAGGAAATTTCAGACATTCATAAAAATACTAGCTTCCCTACCGTCCCAATGATATCCAGAGAGGATTATGCTTAGCAGTGTGATGAACCTCAACGTGTGTCGTCTGATTAAAAATATCTGTAAGCCCTGATTAGACTATCGTTTTTCATAAAATCCCAAAATCTGCCAAGTAAATTCACCAAAGGCTGCCTTCTTCGCCTGACTCTCTGCAAACTTCCTTCCTTCCCACTTCACCTCTAGAGAGCAGTAGTACCGTAGATCTCCACTAGGAGGTGAGGAACTGCGCTAGCGTGGTGTGAAAAGGGTCTTAAGGAACCGAGCTCGGCACAGATCGGTTTTCAGAGGGTAGCGTTAATGTGGCTATCGTCTCTTCTTTTTCCAAACAGTTTCTACAAACATCTTCAGCTGTAAAAGAGGCATAAACAGTTAGCACACCGCTACCAGAGCAGAACCGGATGACATAGACAGAGGTTTGGTGTTTCTCTCTCTGTTCTTATTCTTGTAAGATTTTACCAAATTCCTCCATTACCTGAACTCCTACGAAGTTTTTATTTTCCTCTCCATACCTGTGCTTTCAGCCAGATGTGCTCAGCCAGACTCTGGTTGACGCTCAGGACCTTCTTGTATCTCCTCTGCAGCTCCGCCAGCTGTCTCTGCCTCTCTGCCTCCTTCAGCTGAGCCGCCCGCCGTTGGTCGTCTCTCTTCGCCTCCTGTTTGGCCTCCTCAAGGCTAGACAGGGTAAAGGAGACGCACAGCTGCAAGAGCTTGTTAAAAGGTTTAATCCCAGAAATCCTTCCAAAAAAAGTTAAAAAAAACAATCCACTGGACTTTGATTACAAGTTTGAAGACGTTTCTCTTCCCATCCAGGAAGTTTTTTCAATTAAAAATGTCAGAAATAGAGTTGAGTCCCAGGTTTTATAGAGTGGACCAAAAACACAGCCTTGTTTTGGCTTAGAAAACACTCAAATTGAACCGTACGGACGGTTTTGCCCCTTAGGAATGTGGAGTCGTTTGGGTTCTTTGTTAGCCTGCAATGGCCCATACCTGTCTATGTCTCTGAAAGGGGGGGACGTTAGAGGGAATTGTTGGTCTGGTTGAATTTGCAAGGTCTTCTGTTTCCCTGTAAAGTGGTTGGGGTTGCGATGATAGCAGGAAGGAATCAACTCTGTTGCTGCATTGTAGGTTTTTGAGAGCTGAGTCCCCCCCCTGTTTAAGGTTTTTTCTTTCCTAACATAGATGGCTTCCTTCACGCTCCTCTCAAACCACCTGCCTTCTTTGTCCAAAATGTGAACATTCTGGTCCTCAAAAGAATGTCCTTTGTTCATAAGGTGTCCCAAACGACTGCCCATTACTACGGGATGGACCCTTTTGTCTGGTCCAATTTACATCTTTTCAAAGCCAAACAAGGCATTAGCTGTTTCTTAATCTGTGTACTTGTGCGTTCTCGTGTCCTCGTGAAACGTCATCAGCCTCAGCTCTAGCACTGTTCCAATTCACAAGAACAGCAGACCGAGAACGGACAAAGTCCCTGGATGTAGTTCTGGCCCCTCCCTCTTTACCCAGCATGCATCAGAGCAGACTTGTCCATTCTTGAGACTGACACCTGTCCCAGCATGCACTGCGGCAGCAGCACCTTTCAATGGAGCGCTCACAGAGCTCAGAGTATTAAGTTAAAAGTTCTCTTTTCTCATTTGAGGCAAGAACATTATACTTTTAAGCGTCACTATATGGCCCATTTACCGATTTAATGAGTAATAAAAAAAAAAATGTCCTTAAGTTGAGAGAAGGACCATGGCAACCAGCGGACCTCCGAGGGTAATGGCCAGCTGCTTAGCTTGCTTTTGCCTTGAGCCAGACCTGAAGCTAATCCAAGTGTTTTTATAAAACTAGCAAACTTCTTTCGGGATACCTGTAAGCTGTTGGGTCCTCGATGTCCAGAGCCAAAGGCTCATCTTCCAGACCCACCTGCATTTGGCACAAACACAGCAGCAAATTTCATCCCTGATTAACGTTTTCATCCATTAGTACAAAAGAAACCGGCAGAAAGGAGCAAATGAAGGAACGTAAACCGACCCGTGGTGAAGGAATCTGAGCTTTTCTCTCCAGGCTTTCCTTTTGCTCCTCTGGAGAAAGCAGACAGAAGCAGAAGATGTTGCCGTCGCCACCGCCCGTCAGCACAAACAGATCATCCACGCTGCAGCGGACGTGGCTCACGTGTCCATATTGGTTGTCGTGAATGCTCAGGGCCCAGTAAGCCTGCATGGAGGTGAGGCTGTGGTCATCAGGCTGCAGAGGGTAAGCCCTGATGGAGCCGGACTGCATGCCGCAGAGCAGCAGCTGCCTGTTGGAGCTGATGGGAACAAGGGAACATAAACAGCATGGTTTTATCCTCCACGCAGCAGCCAACATCTGGAGAAGGCAGTATCTAAAAAAATAAACGTCTGTGTTTTTTATCCAGACCAAACCCAGCCTGGTTTTTACGTCTGTTTAATGCCGACCAGATGTTGCAGGTGTGACTGTGGCCTCACTGAAGTTTTTCTGAGGTTCAGTTGTCAAAACATCACCGACTCAGTCTGTGAGCGCCCCCAACAGGTCAAATAATTAAGGCCCAACTTAGCTAGAAATCCAGCCTGTTCCTTCTGCATGCAAAGACTTAGACAGATTTTATTTTGTCAGGAATCCAGTTTGTGTGGTCTGTTGTTTGTGTTGGTCTCTCCCTCCACCACCAGGTGGCGCCCTGTCCTCGTTGGTCCTCCCTGCACGCCTGCATCTCATTGGATCATTACCAGGAGGAGTGCTTAAGCAGTGGACTGTCACTACCTCCATGCCAGAGTGTTTGCCAGTTTTGGGTACTCTAGCCAAGCTGAGTTTTGCTGAGTCTAAACTTGTGTTTTTGTCTTTGCCTTTTCGGCAGGAAGTCATCCTGCTAGCTGGATGTTTGGCCTTCTCCCCCTTGAAGGATTGTTTGAGTCTCACACTGAGCAGGGGATAAACCTCCACAAGTTCCGTTCAAGTTCTCCTGGATTTCCGAGTGACAGTCCGCTCTGTAGCTCCTCCAGGTCCAACAAATGTCCAACGAGTCACTACCTCTGGATCAACCCACACAGACCAGATTCAAAGTGAGAGAGGAACCCCCCCAAATGTGAGTCCCTTACCAGCGTTATCCTTACGGCATCCAAGTTTCCCACGGTACCTGAACTAACCATTGTGAACTTCCCTCCTCCCTTCCAGTTCCAGTTCACCAGCCCTCTGAGAACCAGATCCAACCCCTCAACCCTTACCAAAATAAACCTGTTTAAACATTTGCCTTGCTCTCTGAGTGGTTCTCTGCATTTTGGGTCAGATCCTTAAATAAATCATGACAGGACACACAAGTGTAAACAAAAAGAAAATTCATCTCTAGACTATTTCATTGTTTAAAGTGCAAGTAAGCAGCAGTGATAAAAACATTGTGATGAAAATAAAAAAGTAATGTAAACATATGACTATATAGTTACAGCTCCAACATTTCTTTTTTTTGTTTTTATTTATGGATGATCTTGTGGTTGTGTTTTCGTCGTCGCTCTGTTAGTACGTCATATGCTTCGTTGACCTGATTGGTTTATTTGGCCCGTCTATCACCAACATAGGCCAATCAGCTAACCAGTATTTTTGCCCCTTCCTAAAATTACTTCAACGGAAGGTTTCCAGATGGATATGTGGAGCGAATCCATCTGGTGGAGTCAGGTTAGATGTGCGCCCCTCCCTCTTCCAAATGCTGAATGTTGGAAACTATAAATCGTATCTCAGTGTTATGTTTACATTTGATCACCAGGTTTACTTTTGATTACTGCTGCATTTTTTAATCAGAAATGTCTTGAGACCTGTACTGAATGAAATTTCATTTTGTAAACACTCTGTGTACAAAATGACAATAAAGTCAAGTCTAAGACTTACTCTGAGGTTACCTGAAAGTCATGGAGCAAATAGGATCGTCGTCTGCGTCGTTCACATGTCTGAAAGCGAAGGGCTCGTCCTGACGCTGCAGAGGATCGTCTTCCTGATGCTCAGACAGTTTACAGTGATACAGGAAACCGGCGTCAAAGCCTCCCTGCAGGACGGACACCAGGGAAGAGGATCTCAGTCCTGCTTGCAGACTTTTACTGCTTCTTTAACATTCTGTAGTTATTGTTATGACAGACATCCATTTCCATCAATAATACAATTGATAACATTTATCTGAGTCTTGCAGCAAACCTTAGTTTTTCTCAACATCTTTAACAGACCGGAGCAAACATCTGACTGATAAGGAACCTTTTCTACGGAAGAGGATTAGGGCCACTGAAGAAAAAAAAAAGTTAAATGATTTTTAAATTTTATTTCAGTTTAACATATGAAAAAAGTCAGAATTCTGACTGAATTCTGACAAAAAAAGTCAGAATTCTGAGAAAAAAAGTCAGAATTCTGAGAAAAAAAGTCAGAATTCTGAGAAAAAAGTC